CAGTTAAAACTTTATTTAATATGAAAGGAGTGATGGCATGGCTTCGTGAGGAAACAGAAAACAAATACCCAAATTCAATCAAATGTGCAAGAAAACTATTGTTACCGATTCCATCTTCATATTTAGCTGAATGTGGATTTAGTGCTGTAAATGATTTTATTGGTAAAAAAAAAATCGTGTAGATATAACCAATGGGGAGACTTGAGACTGAGGCTAACCAAATTGGAACCTAAGATAAAATCTACGTGCAGCAAGCATCAAGGGCAAGAATCTCACTTAATTAAAATATTATAGAAAAATATTTATTAAAATTATTTCGAATTTGAATTTTAGTTCTTCATTATATGTTCTGAAAATTTACTTACTTTGTTTCGCTAACAATTTCCTAAGTTTCTTAAGTGAATAATTCGATTTTTTTTAATATTAAAAATTATGTATATGTTACATAGGGGGCATAAGAATTTTAGAAAGGCTTAGGTGGGGCATGGTACAAAAAAGGTTGGGAAACACTGGTCTGAACGAAATAATCAGCCTAGTCATCCCCTCGAACCATTAACCCTATCGCGCCGATTGTCACAAATGCGTGCCAGCATAAAATCGTATCAACCGGGGAAAAAAGATAAAACTGGTAATCAAAGTAATTCTTTAGTAGTTTATTTGTGGGCGAAGTTATAATTGTTTGATTTATTTAATTCACCATTACTTTATTCAAAATAAAACTATTTAGCTATATTTTGAACTAACATTGTTTATATATATGATTGAAATAACAATAATTAAAGTAAAAACAAATTAAGTCTGTCAAATTAGCAACGACTACATTTAAGTTACCTCTTTTTATTTAATTACATCCTGATTCTGATTTTGCTCGAATGCTTTTCTGAATCACCCGTCCCCAAGGGGTTAAGAATGAGTCCTAGAACGTGAAAATCCGAACATTAGAACAAAAGTTATTCAGGGTGGTCCGTTTTTTTCTCGTGGTACGTGCACTGTGCATGGGTAGTATTGCTGTTGTACATACACTGCCCTGCAATAATGGAAGAAACACTTTCAGTTTTTGACATTTTTTTAAATTTCTCAAGAAATATTTAGAGAATTATTTCGTAACTTGAGAGTTGTTTAGTTCATGCAATTTTTCAATCTTAGTAAAAAAGTTTAAAGCTTTCAGAGGTTTGAGTAACAGATAATAAATTACGGAAGAGAACAAATATTTTTGAACACCCTATACCAGGAAATCAAGCAATAAACTTGTTACTTGTATCAATTGCTTTGGTTGTTATTCACAATGACTACATAAAATTTCGCTAAACTAGTTTAAATATTTATAGAGATATTAACATTTTTAAAATTTTTTTTTTGTCTCAAGTTTTTTTGCTATAACTTCTAAAAATAGTCAGAAAAGTTCAACAAATTGTTTGGAGCAATTTAGAACTAAATAAAGAATTTTTGGTTTAGAATTTGAAAAAAGTTCGCTTAAAATTACGCAAGATATGGATATTTAAAGTAGTTTTTTAGTACTATGCATGTACGAAAAAAGTTTAAATTTTTTTCTTCATAATTTTGTAGTGAATCGTATTTGGCAACTTATGAAAAATGGTTTATTTGAATATCCTAAAAACGTTAAAAGTTTCGAGCAACTTTCAATGTAGTTTTCGTACTCTTTGAAATAAAGCTGTACATGATGAACACAAATTTTATTTTATAGTATTGCAAATGAGAGTACCTTAGAACCAGACAGCAAGAACAAAGTAAAATTTGTGGAAAACTTCTGATTATTTTGAACTTTATTTTAAAAAATGCAAAAACTGCATAGAAAATTGATCGGAATTTTTAACATTTTTAAGATATTCAAATAAGTCTGTAGTTGTTGTTTCTAATCCCAGCTGGGATAGCGGAGCTATACAAGATCCATGAGGCCGTGAGTCTTCAAAAAATCGAGGAAAAGGAGAGGTCTCTCAAAAACCTCTTCCATGGTGAAATCCAGGCAATCAAGTAGATCAAAGAAGTCTTATTTCATTAGTCGCTAAATATGATTCACTACAAATTTTTTAAAAAACAAATATAAATTTATTTTGTGCATGCGCAGTACAAAAGAACTACTTTAAATACTCATATCCTGCGTAGTTTAAACTTTTTTCAAATTTCAAAAAAATGTTTTGTATTTAATTTTAAATTGCCCTAAAAAATTTGTTTAATTTTACAGAAAATTTTTAGAGCTATAGAAAAAAAATGTACGACAATTTTTCATATTTCTATAAATATTTAAGTTAGAATTACGAAATTATATACAGTTGTTGTAAATAACAATTAAAGTAATTGATGCAAGTTACAAGCTTAGTGTTTGATTTTCTGGCATAGGGTGTTTAAAAATCCTAGTTTTCTTTCGTGATTTGAATCGCGGAAGAAAACTAAGATTTATTATTTATCTCTGAAAGCTTTAAACTTTATTGCAAAGTATTAAAAATGACATGAACTAAGTAACTCTAAATATACTAAATATACTTTTGAGTATTTCTTGAGAAGTCAAAAATCGAAAGTGTCACTTCTATTATTGCAGGGTAATGTATCTTTAGCGCTAATTCTCTAAATCGCTTTCAAAAAATAACCCTGTTTAGCTCATATGTTGTACAAACGCAAAATCTTGATATCAATTAATACAATGCTGATTATAAAAATTATAGAATTTTATAAATTTTTGCAGCAAAATGTGGCAGCTAAAAATTAGAAATATTTACTAATTTTAGACGTATATGTTTTACGTCATTTCTTTAAAAGTTTTTCATGAAAGTTTAGGTCGGACATAATAGGGTTTGTAGAAGAAATAAGGGGAAATATTTATTATAAAAATATTAATAAAACTTACTTAAGCTCTTGGACCACTTCAAATCTTTTAATTTGAGGCGAAGTTAAGTTACAGCAAATTACTAAGCTCCATACAAGAGAACTCTGCAGAAAAAAAACGAGTTTATAATATCAGGCAAGAATGTCACTTGTCAAAAAACGAAAAAAAAAAATGATTGCATCATCATTTCTAGTTTTTTTTTTGAAATAATGATAAACCATGACTACCAGTACTGGTTAACAGTTATAAAGTATTAGAAAAGTTGCTTCTGTTATACATAGCTAAGTTATTGAGGTAAACAGCTAGAATTGAATTTGAAAAGTAAAAACTTAGTATAAATTGCAATGGCGGGGGGGGGGTGCTCATTCAATAACACTTTTTGTAAATATTTATTCTAGTGGTAGCTATGTTTTATCATTTAATGTTTTAATTTTTATTCATTTAAATTTATTTTCTACACCACTACATATAAATGATTTGAAAGTTCATATGCGACGCCATTTTGCTCCTGCATTTTCCTGGTAAGGCTTTCAAAATGTTGACAAAAATTCTGAAAGCGTTAGTTTTTAAATATTTACTATAGCTCTTTCACCAGGAGTTGGCACTTGGCTCCACCTTCATCACGTGGTATGCGACAATACTATTTCGCTGCTTTTGGGATAAAGTTGCTATTTGGCGATCGTATGGTGAATATATTTATTTCGCATCTGCATTTGTTTTAAGTACGTATTTCATAAATTTGATGATATTTCGTGCAATTTTTTACGATGTTTCTCTCTTTTGAGTGAATAGTTTGTCCTGTTTTAGACATTTTTCTGGGAAAACAGCAGTTTTTAAATTTAAAATATATTTAATTAGCTAGAAAAACGTAAGTTATAATAGCAGATGATAAAGCAAAGTAAGTGACTGAAAAAGAAGTAACTGTTTGTGTTAGGCTCGCATTATGGGTTGTCTCAATTTCAAGAGCGGAGATGTTTCTCTTCTTACTCCCTCGCTGAAATGAACTGTGCGTCCGAGGAGGTAGAGTCAAGTGCCAACTCCTGGTGAACGAACTATACTGTATAAAATATTTTGCAAAAAGCGTAGTAGCTAGCAGGACTGATTAAACTATGTATCAGAATGGTTAATTGTACACACTATGTACCACCATTTCCTGGTTAGCACTCAGTCCCCTTCCTTCTGGTTGTACAGTAACTTCGCGATGTAACGGTAGAAGTATTTAATGCAAAAACGGTTAAAAAAAAAACTTTTTTTCTTCTCCAGTTTGTTAATTGCTAATATCTTCTCCCGTTTTGGTTTTAAAGTCCTTTTTAAGCCTGTTAATAAAATTAAATATAAGTCTATTTTATTTTATTTTATAACCGTCGTTGAACAGCTGACCCATTNTTTCAAAATAATTCGTAGGCTTATATAATTCACCACTTTATAATACTTACGTCATGCTAAACCTCTTAATAAGCAAGCAAAAATAGTCAAATATTTGCAAAATTTACTTGTAGTTATTTATCGTTTCTTTAATTTTCTTGGGTTGTCCGGAGCAGTTGGCATCTCTGGGAACCTCCCACTGTTAGCATGACGGCAAGGGGACTCTGACCTATGAACTGACTTCATACCTGCCAACTTTTCCGGAAGATTTTATTTTCATATTTAAAGTGGTAGTAAGTATATACTAATTTTTCTTTTTTTAGATGATTTTGATCACCACTATTCTTACAAAAATTAAGCACATATAATAATATGCGTTACTATCATAGTTGTTAACTTAAGTTTTCTCAAATACAACGTATTTGTTTGCTTAAAATTGAAGTTTTAATTCCATTTTAATAGCACTGGGAAAAATGATAATGGAAGGGATTAAAAGTTGGCAGGTATGTGACTACCACTGAGGATATCTCACGTCAGCACTGTGGTTGTTGCAAGCCGGATGCGGAATTCATATTAACCAGTCATCGCTGGGATTCGAACCCCGGTTCACAATGCTCTGTCCCCTGAACCATATAAGTTTCTTAAAGATTCTTTTTGTTTGGATAATCTCTGGGGCTTTTACAATATTAACCCTTTGCACTCGGAGTATTTTACAATTTATAATCAGTTTCTAAAAAATAGAAACTCTATAAACAAAAATTGTATATGTTTGATATTTTGTACTAGTGCCTGCTTAAATTTATTAAAGTGCAGGTTTAAATGTAGAGTTGAGTGGATGATGTTTATAAGTGACATTTTTAGACAAACTGCAATAAGGGGAAAGAAGAAAAAAAGTGGTATGAAAGTGTTTTGTTTTAAATTTAATAGAATTGTTTTCGATTGCTTTTGGCGAACTTGTGGTTGCATTTTTATAAGTACTTGACCTTACTTAATGCAGTTGTGAGGATTTTAAATCTGATTTTACTTTTGTTGCAAGAGAAACAATTTTTATCAAAAATGATATTCTTTGTTTTGTTTATTTTTTTTTTCAAAATATATAAGTTAATGAAGATCTAGGTTTATCTGTCTTCATATACAATTGTCTGCTCTTTTGAAAATAACCCTTAGGACGGAAAACACGTGACCTTAAATGTATCGCATTATAAACTGAAATGTATTATCACCTTAATTCCTACCATTCCTTACGTAGCAGATAAGTTGGGGTACTCAGTATTCATTCGAATGGATTTAAAAAAATCCTGGTTAGGAGTATATTGCATAAAAAATGTAGCTTGTCGAGAGAAACAGATGGCAAATTTGATATCAGTAACTCGAAAATATCGAAGATCCTTTCAAAACTCATGGGACAGAAAATTTTTTTCCCTCTCTAATTTTTTGTCTCATTTTATTTACTACTAACCTAATTTTAAATGAAATGACAATAAATAATTTCAAAGGAAATCATACAAACATAATGTGAATTAGTTTTGTTAAATTAAGGTGAAGGCAAAAACAACTTTATTTCATTAAACTTAACCCATGTACCGTAAATTTATCCATATACCATTATTAGCCTCTTTTCAATCAATGCATCTGAAAATGTCACTTGCACACTTTATTTAATTTTAAATATAAAGATCTTAATTGTTTTTCTTTATCCCAAACTTTTTTGCCACGTTTCTGATATTTTGTGTCTTATTTACTGTTTCACAATAGGGTGCTTAAAATATATATAAAAGAACTTACCACACTGATGAGAAAAAGTGGGCAAACTAAAGAGCATCTCAAAGCTCTACTAGGTCCTACCATGCACCTGAAATTAAAATGGGTAAACACAATTACTTAAAAGTTTCCTACAGGATGATCACAACCGAGGAAAATTTCAAAAGACACTTTTTACGATGGGAAAAACGAATTTTTTACCGATTTCAATCTTCCAAAATATACTTGTGAATTAAAGGAAATAGATGTGAAAATGACCTAACTTATTTCTTGAAAGTTAAAACCATTGAACAGCCTCATTGCTATAACTTTACCTGGTTATGTCTATCCTGCTATTGTTTGTAATCACAGACAAACAACAGCATTAACTCTTTTGCACCGGACGGGACATGTGCTGTCCCAGTCCATGGGTGAAAGCCCTTATATAGCAAGACGGAAAAGAGAAAAACCTGGTACGTAAAACATTTCATTCCAGCATTTTTTTCGAAAAAAAATGAAATATCTGTAACTATCAAGATTTCTTTTATAATTCTGGCATATATATAAAACTGCTTCTTTTCTCAGATAAAGTAGACATTGTTGAAAAATTTAAAAAATGAATAAGTAAACTCCTCCCCAAAACTAGCTATAACTGAAATGGTTTTACTACCAGCCTTTCCTCTTTTCCGCCTCGCTTTCACCCCTGCCCCTATGTATTAAACAATTAATGTGCAACAGATATCTAATTGTTACGGTATAAAACTTTAAAAAGGGTAAAAAGGGTCTCTTACGGTAATTAAACTTACATAAGTAGCACANCTTTCCATTATCATTTTTCCCAGTGGTATTAAAATGGAATTAAAACTTCAATTTTAAGCAAACAAATACGTTGTATTTGAGAAACCTTAAGTTGACAACCATGATAGTAACGCATATTAATATATGTGCTTAATTTTTGTAAGAATAGTGGTGATCAAAATCATTTAAAAATTAAGTTTATAAAAGAAAAAAAGTATATATTTACTACCACTTTAAATATAAAAATAAAATCTTCCGGAAAATCCAGATGAGTTGTCAGGTATGCTACTGGGTGATCAGAACCAACGCCTCCTATAATTGAAAGCCTCCACACGCTTTATTGTAGGTAGTCCAATTGGTGAAAGAATCATTTAATATGAAATCCATGTCTAAAAATTTGTTAATATAATTGGTTTGTTTTATTTACTTGTCAACCACTACAGATTCAATTCTCAAATGTATATGATAAATTTCTCTCAAGTACTTTTAAAATAGAAATTTTGTTTATGCGCACAAGTGGTTCGCTTTTTAAATAATCTGCGCAGACTACTTATAAGAAACCGTGTGGAGGCTTTTTGATGTAGGAGGTGATGTCACAACCGAGGAAAATTTTAAACGAAACTATTTAAGATGGGAAAAACAAATTGTTTTACCGATTTCAATCTTCCAAAATATACTTGTGAATTAAAGAAAATAGATGTTAAAAAGACCTAACTAATTTCCTGAAAGTTAAAGCCATTGAACAGCCTCATTGTCATAACTTTACCTGGTTATGTCTACCCTGCTATTGTTCGTAGTCACAGACAAACTACTGCATTAAATGAAGGTGAATTTTATTTAACGATTTGAAGTTAAGTTCTGCAAATAAATCATAACAAGTCACAAATAATGATAGTAACGTTATATTAGTGAGTAGCAATCTGTATACACATAATAGTAACTAGTAATATGTAATACTAATGAGCTGTTAAACTTCTTTAGTCTTTCACAGTATGAGAAATACACAAAAATGAAAATACATGAGTAATGTGTTAGATAAATTAGTTTACTCTTTAATTTTTTTCTGTATGAGAAATATACTCAAAAAATACACGGGTAACGTAATAAAACACAATAATTACCTGTCTTCATAACCGTAATTGGATGTCGATGCAACAATAACTCCAACCCAAACCAAAGGTAATCCTGTAAAAATAAATAAAATAAAGAAAATTATTTACGTTTATTTATTTTTTTTTAAAGAAAAGTCAATTTAGTAAAATCTAAACAGTATTCATGAAAAATGGATTTTAATTATTTTTATTTTAAGCACTTTAATGAAAAATCATATGAATAAAATTTATTATGGCATCCAATTTCATCATCATCATCATTGAAATATATCTGGGCGCCTGGGGCCGTTAGCGGTCTTTTTCCCATTCGTCTTGTATTGTGGTCTTTAAGGTGGTTCTTTCTGGTAATTGGAATGCAATTGGAATAAAAGGAAATTAAATATTTTGTATTTTAGTTAAAATTACGTCACTGCAAAAATGAGCTGCCATCGGCCTGAGGTTTATGTCTTCTCTTAAGAGAATTTTTACTTTTGAAAACTTAAGTTTTCAAAAGTAAAAATTTCGTTGAATCCAGCGGTGTCACAATTTATGGTCTTTTCGAAAAATCTGAAATTTAACTTTGCAATATGGTGATCTAAAAAATCTATGTTGAGGTCGCGATTTATGTTTTTATTGCGGATAAACAGTCTTGCTTTTGTCATTTTCCTGAGGATTTTATTCTGGCATATTTTGAGTTTTTTAAGGAGTGATGTGGAGATGTTGCACCAAGCTGGGGATGCATAAATTAGGATGGGACGGATCATCGAGATGTAAAGTAAACGTTTAAGTCTGAGTTCCATTTTGGGGTTCTGAAGAAGGATTTGTAATCTGTGACAGGGTGCTTGTGCTTTGTTGATAACTGTTTTGACGTGATCTTTCCAATTAAATTTGCTGTTTATGACCAGACCAAGATAGTTTGCGCTTTTGACTATGGGTATTGAAGAGAACAACTTGATTTTTTGGGAGGATAGTTTTTCTTTTATGTTGGATGATTAGTAGTTTCGATTTTTGGCCGTTGACTTTAAACTTCCAGTCTAGACACCAGGTTTCTATATCCGTAAGCTTTTCTTGGAGTTTCTGTAGGGCAACGTTGGGATTTTTGGACTTCACGACAATTCCTGTATCATCTGCAAAAAGTGCTGTGGTGCTATTAAAGTCTTGTCTGTCGATGGGAAAGTCGTAGGTAAATAATATGAATAGTATGGGCTCAAGGATGCTTCCTTGAGGCACTCCTGCTGTTATTTTTCTGTTTGTTGATTTCATGTTTTTAAAATTAACCTGAAAGGTTCTATTATGTAAGTAGGCCTGTATAATTTAATGACACCAGACGGGAATTTCAGTTGTATAAGCTTGAAAATAAGACCCCGATTGGCATCCAATTTGAATTTTTTTTTTTTTTTGGAATTTTCGTATCCTTACAACAAAAGAAAGGTAATGAGAAACAGTAGTATCTAATTAAATATTACGGTATTTTGAAGTTGAATAATGAACGAAACTTTTTCAACGTAATCATGTTATTAAACCTCAGCCATACCTCTAAATGTGACATTTTCTTTAACGCACGGGATGTCAACATTTATTTTTATTTTATTTTCTCCAACTGTTTCTTTTTTCTTCAGAATTTTGAATTATAATAATTAAAAATTTATTATTAGTGTCATATTAAAATTGCAATACTTCTTTTTATACTGAGAAATCTTAAATCTTTATTTGTCAACTGCGTCAAAAATATTGCCAATCATTATGAATTCCGAGCACATATTGCATATAGTTTGACAAAAGTACACTTTAACAGTAATTGTCAAAGCCGTTGACTTCCCCTCTTCGTGTTATAGTCCTTCACTAGCCGAAGCAAGAAGCCAAAGCAACGATGCCTTGATTCTTTGTAATTAGAATTTAAAGTGATTTGGGGTTTAAAAACGGGCAGTCCAAATTAAAAATATGGTCGTCATAAAGGAATTTAAAAAGAAAAGAAAGAAAAATGATCCATCCTGGCTGCATTGCCCAATGGGATGAATTCCAAGCGCATATTTCATATAGTTTGACAAAAGTAGACTTTTTTATTGTTCATCAAAATGCATCCTATTCAATTTTGTTGTTGTCGTAAGGCAAAGAGTGTGATTGTTTTCTTTTCCAGTGGCGCCATCTATGGACAAGAATTCGACTTCTGCCACAACAATACATCACTCCCGTATATAGGCAACACCTCCTAGAAAAGACAGGCCTCAGCACGGGTTACCATAAATATCCTTCAGTAGTCCAAACGTAATGACATATTTCGTATTTTCAACCACTGCGCAGCTTATTACCCCGAACGTAATGACATCTTTCTTACTTTTCATCTACTACGCAGTTAACTTCGTCACATCGGACTATTAAATTGATCCGTGCTGAGGACTTCCTTCTTCTAGGAAGTGTTGATATAGGGCGGACCCATTTACACAGTCATTAATTCATGCTCAGATCGTAATTTGGACCTCAACCAGAGAACGATCCATCTCCAATTCTGTGCCTCCAGAGGTATTGATTTGTTATTGGAACATGGATGACTTTGCGACCCGAAAAATTTAACGTGTACCAATCCATCACCTCCAACAGCAATAAGCCTCCACACGGTCTTTTATAAGTAGTCCGTGCAGACTGTTTAAAAAGTGAACCAGTTGTGCGCATGAACCCAAAACCTTTTATAAAAGTAATTGAGAGAAATTTATCTTATATATTTAAGAATTGAATTTGTAGTGGTTGACAAGTGAATAAGGCAAACCAATAATATACGCTAATAAAATAAATTTTTGGTCATAAATTTGCTACCACTTTCTTATTTGAACTAGATTTCATATTAAATGACTCGTTCGGTAAGTGGATATTCGAATTCCAGCCACTGCCTTTACAGAGTGCGGACGTATTAAGTCTAGCTCTGAGCGATCATGCCATACAACCAGAAAGGACGCGGCGGCAAGGTTTTACCCACCGCCCGAAAGTACGTTGGACACGATGCATCTATCTCATTGGATCAAGTCTTGGAGACCTGCGGGATTCCCGCGAAATACTTCCCGCCGAAAGATCAGATGGCCAACTCCGATTACCTCAAAGTCTTCTACGGGAAATTTTCCTGTGAAGAACAGTTTGAAGCGTACATGCAACTGGATGATTTCTCCAGAAACTCTGGTTTTGGACCTCACCACGAGATTTTCGACCAGTTAGCCCTCGCTGCCCTTGTGGCGCGAGGTGAGAAAATACGCCAGATAAATTCGACAGAAGTGGAAACACCGACAGCAACCACACCCGAGACTGCTGCCGCCCATAGCATCGACATGAATTCTGAGCCTGTTGAGGAAGCCTCGGCATCTGAAACTGCGCTCTCAGAANGGCAACACCTCCTAGAAAATGCAGGCCTTAGCACGGGTTACCATAAATATCCTTTAGTAGTCCAAACGTAATGACATATTTCGTATTTTCAACCACTGCGCAGCTTAGTACCCCGAACGTAATGACATCTTTCTTACTTTTCATCTACTACGCAGTTAACTTCGTCACATCGGACTACTAAATTGATCCGGGATGAAGACTTCCTTCTTCTAGGAAGTGTTGATATAGGGCGGACCCATTTACACAGTCATTCATTCATGCTCAGATCGTAATTTGGACCTCAACCAGAGAACGATCCATCTCCAATTCAGTACCTTCAGAGGTATTGATTTGTTACTGGAACATGGATGACTTTGCGACCCGAAAAATTTAACGTGTACCAATCCATCACCTCCTACATCAAGAAGCCTCCACACGGTCTTTTATAAGTAGTCCGCGCAGACTGTTTAAAAAGTGAACCAGTTGTGCGCATGAACCCAAAACTTTTTATAAAAGTAATTGAGAGAAGTTTATCCTATATATTTGAGAATTGAATCTGTAGTGGTTGACAAGTGAATAAGGTAAACCAATAATATACGCTAATAAAAGAAATTTTTAGTCATAAATTTGCTACCACTTTCTTATTTGAACTAGATTCTATATTAAATGACTCGTTCGGTAAGTGGATATACTTCACAGTTGTCTGATCAGACTACCTATAAAAAGCCGTTCTCACAAACAAGAGTCCAGCTCCTTGCCAATATAGTACTGTTATTAAAAAAATACTAAAATATTACGAAAGATACATTTGATGCAGACGAACAAAGTTAGAATAAGAGAGTTTTTAATTTGAATTGAACTTACCCCAACCAATGAGCATGTACAACATTACTCTGCCGTCCACAATACCTTTGATAAATCCCTTGAAGAGCGCATGAGTTAAAATTGCCATCCAGCAACCAACGCACAAGTAGAAGTAATGAATGAAGCCTGACAACACACGACATGCTTCCTGGAATCACATGTAGTAACGTTTTTAGGAGGATTTCCAGAAACTCACATAAAAAGTAACAAAATTCAATCAAAAAATTTGTGTCAAGGAATTCAACCTGTTTGCGGTACTGAGAAATTTAAATAATTGTAAACTTCAGTCAAAGGGACTAGTATAAGAATGGAAGTTCATAATAAAGAGATCTTCTCTTTATCTTTATACATTTAAAAATAAAAAGTGTCTCATGTTAAAATATACTCATAATTTGAAAGATAAAAACTCTTACAATTATATTGCAGCGATGCTAACTTGCACCACTTTGTAAAAAAATATTTTCTAGTGATAACTAAGTTTAGGTTATTTTTAGTTTAGTATTTTTCATTTTAAGCAATTTTTCCACCTTTACATATCTAAGTATTATATGAAGTTTTAATTCATAGCAGTTAAATCGTAGTAATGAGTGGGCGTAATTATCCGTACTTTTCAGGTTTTACTGTTTAATTCTCTACATATTTATTACCACTTACGTAGAAAGTGAAGCAGGTTACATTCCTGTTATTGGTTTGCTTAATCGTTAAAAATAAATGGAACTACTCTTAAATAATTTTACTCCGTTGCAAGTTAAGGAAAGATCTTGGCGGTATAGGATTTAAGTATTCCTCCGCGAAGGCATATATTTCTGTTTTTATTTCGCTCCCAAATCATACATATATTTTTTCAAGACAATATAAACGTCTTTAAACACGTCAGACAGAAATTTAATTCGTGCTATCATTTATGATAAATATCATAGAATTATTTAAAATAAAAAGGATTTGGTTTCGTAGTTTTGCTGGAATCTCGATAAACCAGAAGAACATTCGTTCTTGGAAAAAGAAACAACTATATGACGCTGCAAGAGCATTGGATTTGATTGAACCACTAAAAATGGAGCGTCTTATGCTGACATGCTCTTAACAAATCAAATGCGAGATAAATTATTTTTCTTTCTGTTTCGCTGTGGAAGTAAATCATCTGCAAGAAACAATATTATTCCTTCATCAGTTTTTCTTAATTCTCCTTACTTATGTATTGATTATTGTTAAAAAAAAGCAAATCAGAGGCCGTGCAACGTTGTCTCAAAAGTTGGCGATATTGAAATGCGTTCGCGCTAGAAGGTTGGTGTTTATTAGGTGTGCATTTCGATGCAAACAGGCTCAATAAACGCCTCCTACAACTGAAAGCCACCACACGGTCACTTTTTAACTAGTCTGAGCGAACTTCTTATAAATAACCGTATGGAGGCTTTATGCATAATGATATTAGACTTTTTTAAAACTTGCTCCACATTGCACAAGAGAGAGTTAAACTAAAAAAAACTGGTATACTAATTATTTCATTCCTGTTAGACCATCAATAAATAACAGCTTTACTTTTAAAATTATTTTAAAAAATACACTGGTGTGGAAAAATTATTGATGAAATAGAAAAACTAATATAAAACGAAACAGGCAGTTTCAACGGAAAGAAAGGTTATCGAGAAGAGGAACCACTGGAAAGTAAAGTAATAGAAAATTAAGAATATATGCATCATGACGCACCGGGGGGCGTGTCGTAAGGAAATGAAAGACGCTAGCAGTAAGGCTCCTATACTATCAGAGCTGACCTATCAAGCAAACAAGTTCGCAAGTTAACGTTATTTTAGTATTCGTTATGTTATTACAGAGATGCCAACTGCTGCGGACTCGCCAAAATAATTTAAATAAACGGTAAATAACTATAAAGTAAATTTTGCAAACAGTTGACAATATTTGCTTGCTTTTTAAAAATGTAAAGCATGTCATAAGTATTAAAAAGTGGTGAATTATATAAGNCCACTGGAAGGTAAAGTAATAGAAAATTAAGAATATGTGCATCATGACGCAGCGGGGGGCGTGTCGTAAGGAAATGAAAGAAGCTGGTAGTAGGAAGCTCAGTAATTACGTCAATGGTATTGACCAGCATATATACTTTAACCGAAGTGAATTCGTTGTCCGGAGGTTCAGTGGAGGTAGTCTTCGCACAGCCACGGAAGTAGACGACTGGTATATTGTCCTACAGGCTAGAAAGAACTTAAAACTAAGAGTAGAAGAAATCGCTAGGCAAGCCCGTTTTACCGCGGCCAGTAAACTGAACAAGGGTTTCAATTTGCACATCAGCCAGTACGGGTTTTTCCAATAACGCCATTTTATTGGAGAAGCCAACGACTCGACGCATACGCAATGAAGTCTAGTACTCTTTACGGATGAGAGCAGATGTAGTCTGTTAGTGATTCTGGACGCATACACATCTGGAGAGAGAGAGGAACACGCAATGTCCCCTCTAACATCATCGAAAGAGAACGATTTGGAGTAAGAGGGGTTCTTGTCTGGGGCGGTATCATGCTTCTTACCCGTACTGATTTGCACATCTTCCATGGTGGTTCAGTCACTGGTTCTCGTTATTATACCAAGATTTTCTTTCCTCATGTACGGTTTTTAGAGGTGCTGTGGGTTACAAGTTCATCTTTATGAACGATAATTCTACACCTCACCGTACAGTGGCAGTCACAGAACTGTTGGAGAGTGAAGCTATTGCACGCATGGAATGGCCGGCGAAGTACTCGCGGAATGGACAGTGGTCACACCCGAGAGGTTCCACGGTAATACCTCTTTCGATTGATTTAGAAATTATCAGATTTCAGTATCTATCGTACAGAAATTCTACAGACATTTAACAAAAACACATTAAAATTAATATAAATTAAGAAGAAAAACGTGAACTCCTGACATGATGCTAAAGATGAAGAAGAAAATGAGTATCTGTAACAGATAAGGGAAAATGCCTCAAACATCAAGTTTGATATTTATGCATCAGTTGATGAAAAAATTAAAAGTTGGCGTCCGTTCAAAAAATGATTGCAAAAGCTGAAGAAGTGCGAAGTGAAACGGAAACACGATGTTTGCAAAAGGCCTTTGAGACAATCGAGAATTCAATCGGGATTCATTCGGGTTATCCAAAATATAATAATAACATAAAATTACGTTGATCTGAAATAATGCTCCTGTAATGCTTAAAAACTAATGTAATACAAAATACAAGAAAGTAACAAATTAGTCCAGTCATAAATGTCCTATCACTTTCTTCAGAAATGTCCTTCCTTACATTTTTACAACAGTTGTCTAGAATGGGTAAATTCAGCTGTTTGGTTTTGACTCTGGAAAAAAAATTTCCGTTTGTTTTCTGTGGCAGGAGATTTTTGGACCGACCTTAAATACTTAAGCATCGCTGATTTTAAATCAGCAATCTGTTTCTAACTACAAATACGGTTTTCACGAAATTTAGTTTTGTAATCTTATTAAAAAATAACCTTGAAAAGAATAAAAACACATTTGAAATCTCTTAATACTAGGTCTAACGAGCAGGTCCACAAAAATACGCCCTATTATACAAGGGATGAGAGAAGAATCTTTATAAAAAAGGGATTTTAAATGTAGTACATACATCAGATGCCTTGCTAAGTTTAGTTAGATACTTTTGTTGCAAGTTTGAATACCATATATTAAATAATTGAGCTAATGAAATTAGAATAGGATATAGAAGGAATTAAAAAAGTAAGTTTATGAAATTAAAAAAAATTAGAAGCTAGAAAATAAGTAATGCCTATTATAGCATCGTACACACATATATATATTTACCAAAGATATTACTCGCTACCAGCAGACATTTTTTGGGCAGGTCTTATTAATTTATTTTAAACAATGAATTGATAATAATTTAACACCACTTTTTAAACAAATATATACATTTTATGAATTTTAATTTGCGAGTATCTTTTGTTATCACAAATTAACATTCAGTAATTAATAAGTAAACACTGGTTTTAAAATCTACTGGTGGTTTCATTTTAACAATTAAGTTGAACCGATGCAAGTTTTAGGTAGGAATCCAGGCTTAAAAGAGTTGCATTGAGATCCGCCTTGGGTCTCACATTTTCTCGTGAAAATCTTCGAACACTAATTCGCGCATGTTTCACTTGCAACATACGATTTAAAAAATGCATGAGTGAACATGAGGCGTGAATAAATTTAGCTGATTTATAAGTTTTTGTGCATTATCACTCTCCTTATATAATCGGACCTTCTGAAACACCTTTTTATTTCTTAGTTTTTTGTTTCCTTTTTAGGATTATAGCTTTGTTGTGGGTGTAGGATATAGTTCTTTTAATTATTTTTATAAATTTATTTCAAATAATTTATGGTGTCTTTACCAAGCATGTGGTCGCAATATTTAATAATGCAGCAGGATTATGTACCTTACTGATATTATTTTGTACCTGTGTCTCATATTTGAAACAGAATATAAATTAAAATACACATCTCACATTTTTTTTATCCTGCTTTTCTCTGAATCATTTTTACTAAAATAGATAAATTGTGTTAAATTACGTTACCTAAAGTTAGTAAGTGTGTTTTTGTACTAAGACGGAAAAATGTCCTTATTTTAGAGTGACAATAAATTTAATTTTCATAGCGCTTTCTTCATGGTATATTTTTAATATCTTATTTAGAAGCTCAAAAATTGAATAAATTTTTTTTTAAATAAATTGACCAATTGTTGAGTTACAGAATCGACTAAGTTAAAGTTGTTATAAAAAATGAATTGTTTAAGAATAGTGGATGATAAAAATCTACTAAATTGAATTTATTAAACCAAGAATCACAATCAATAAACTACCACTTGAAAATATTTATTCGCTGCCCGAAGCAAATGTTCATCTCTGTGTATATAAATTAAACTATTTTATTGTGTTCTATATTGCATTAATTTCTTCAAACCATTTTAGCAACGATAATATGAAAAAATTTCATAATTAACTCTAATTATGGATTTTTAATAATCTTGGCTTCGTCGGTCACCGGTGACCCTCATAGCACGTGTTAATACTGCTAATACAAAGATCCTTTCGGGTATTCTTAGACAGAAACATTTTTATTAAAAAGGTAAGGAAACGAGTTTTCGAAAGAGTTTCTGCTACCAGTATTTTAGTTTTTGAGGACGCTTAGGGAATGATACTTACCCAATCATGCCGTTTGAAATCGACAGAGAAAAAGGATAGCATTGTACCCACAGCAGCAATAGCTAAGTTAAGACGTATTATGTGGAACTGATCATGCAATGATCTGAAATTATGAGAGCAATGCATTAAAATAATATAGGTAAAAACAAAAAGAGATATGTTACAAGTACTTAAAGTGTTTAATTATTGATAACAAATATTACACAAATTTGTCTCATATATATATATCGATTCCCTCAAAATTACGTCCAAATGAATTTTTCTAAAAAAATCAGTATTTTTTTAAAAATTGATTACAGTAATTTTCGGTCNATATATATATAATCTTGAGATATGTTCTTATGTGTTCTTATTTTATTTTCCTAATTTTAAATTCTTACCCAAATTTTAAAATATTTTTAAGAATTATATTATACGAGTATTGGTAACTTTTTTCATCTTCTCTTTTTAAAAATCTTTATACATATATCTTTCCATTATATATATTTTTTCATGTTTCTCTACATTTTTAACTTATTTTTTCACTTCCATATTTCTTTATATTTTTACTTTCATTTTTCTTACAATGATTTTTCTTTCTTTTTGTTAAAATATTCAATTGTTAAAATATTCAAATATTACTTTTATTTAACTTCTTTCTCTAATAAAATTTTTTAACTTTTTTTAATAGAAATCTATAAAATTGTTAAAAACACTTTTAAAAGGTATTAAATTGATTTTGATCAATAGCGGAACTATTTGGATGTGTAAAATGTCACTTTTGTCAATCTTATAATAAAATGTTTAAAAACATAATCAATGCAAACATAAAGCATGTTAAATATTTCGTACTACATACTTTTGTTGCTAAACGTTATGATTATTAGAAAAGTATGCTATATTTTCTCTTAGCTTTTTTATAATTGCACTATTCATCAGAAAAAAACGCTGTCCCTCAGTTTACTTGTCACTACTATCCCTTAATACAAATATTTTTAAATTGATGACTAGAAGTCTACAAACTGAATAATCAGTGAATAAATAGTTTGCAATACTAATTAATATACCTTACACGCAGATGATCAAAAATTACTCTTTGGTTTGTAAGCCAATCAATTGCAGTGAGAAGACGGAAAGTACACGAGTATTGGCTTTGAGCAATAGAAAAAAAACTTGTTCAAATCAGAGAAATATACTTTTTTTTTTGCAAGTAAAGGTTGACAAACGAAACAGTTAGTTATTGGTAAATCAACATTGATGCTATTGCTGTGTAAATTAAATATAAAAAAACGTGCTGTTTGCTTGGGAGGGGGGCTACAATTGAAATTGTCCTGTCTAAATCAAGATAGTGATCGTTATGGTGAACAGATGTCGATGTAACTTGGTTCATACGATTCCTAGACCGAGTTAATTTTTTTCTTCTTCTTATGAACAAATAGTTAACATTTCGACCGATAGATGAAACTTTTAGCTTTTTACAAAGAAGAAAGATCATCCGTGTAACAGAGGGGGATATAAATAGCCAGTAGTCATTATCGATAAACAATTTTGCACCCATAATTTAACAGAAAAGAAGAATTGAAAAATAATGATTACTAAGTGAGAAGTTAATAAAAAAAATCAAAATAAAAAAAATATTTTTAAAACCCACGTTTTTGTAGTGGAGAATAATAATTAAGAAACAAAATTTTGAAAAACGAAACACTTGAGGCACATGAAATACATAATAGTTACAGTATGTGTGCTCATAAGAATATGTGCATGTATATCTGTAATTGTATCTGAATGTGGATGCGTATGTGGAATATGTTTGTGTATATGGTGTGTATGTGTATGTGTATGTAGAATATGTTTGTGTATGTGGGTGTGTATGTGTATATGGGTGTGTATGTGGATGTGTATGTGGTTGTGCATGTGTAGGAGTAAGAAAATGTGTATATGTACTGTTATGTATTGCATGCGCCCCACGTTTTTTGTCTTTCAAATTTTTGTTTTTTAATTATTATTCTCCACTACAAAAACGTAGGTATTAAAAATTTGATTTTTATTTTGAATTTTTTTTGTACTCATTTCCAAAATCTCAATTTTTTACTCACTGTACACAAAACTTTTCAATTGACATGTGACATTAATTTGAAATAATCGAATCGACAGCAAAAGACAATCTCGAAAATATTAATTTTTCGTTAATTTTAATTTTATTTTATTTTGTATGTCTTTTTTCTCTTCATTTTCATACGTTGTCATCCAATTCTGAACTATGTGCCAAAGTTGAAGTCTGTAGCTAGTCGGGAAGTTAATTTAAAATCCATTACAAAATTCCACCCGAACAGACATGCACGAAGGCAAGTTGATATAAACGTGGTAAAAAGTGGAAGTATGACAATGGAAGTTGTGTTTTTTTTAAAAAATTAATTGAAAGTAAGCGTAACGCATTGCACATCATTCAACCATGAAAAAGCACCTATTCCAGTTTTTCAGAGCTTTATCTTCTGGCATCCATAGTAAGAATGCTAAGTCTTTTTTCTCCCGATTAGACGACGTGGACAGCGCCTGAGATGTTACCACTTTCTCTAAACTTCCACACTACAACCAAAAAGGGGGCTTTCAGTCACGACAAATTTAATGTACTTAATGCTTATACAGGCTCGTTGATAAATCGGCTTCCGTGATCGAACTCACGACCCCTAGCTCTCCTCTAGTGCAGTGAGTTACACCTTTACCGACTAGAAAAGGTCTCGGTCACTACTTCATGACTGACCACGAGTAAGCGAAGGTATCGGTCACATAATACAGTAGAATAAAATGTGACTCATCTGAGCATAACATGTCTTGTTGCTAGAATAATTTGACTATCGTCCTCTGAAAACTGAAGTAACTCGAAGCAAATTTTCTAAATGTACATTCGAAAATTCACCTCTTTACCTTTCCAACTATTTAAAAAGTAATCGCTGTTTGAGAATCTCTGTGAAGAGTTTCTCTTCTTCGCATATATGATTGAAAAGTTAAAACTGTGAGTTTTTATATGTTCGTTTAACAGTTTTACTGTCATTTTTCATTTTAGTTTGCGGAGGACGCTGGCTCTCTTAGCTGCACTAGTTTGGAAGATCATTCGAGATAAAATTGACCTCACTATAAATATTTAAATCTGGCGAGAATGGAATGTGAATTGAACATATGTTCTAATAAATTGTGTTTTCTGTTCTTTTTTAGCGCTTTTCTCTCGCCAGGTGCAAGAGATTTCACTTTTTAAAATTTCAAATTCCTTTGTCTCATGGTTCATATAAGATACAAACCAAATTTCCTCTAAACCGAATTTCCTCTGTTTGGGTAAAACAACACGGATTCTATGTTGATCTTAATGGGGTATTTTTAATTATAATCACCCTGCACGGCATGTAATAGTTTGAAAAAGAACTTTAACACTATAGAGTGACTTACGATCTGGTAGCAATGGCACAGATATAGCAGATCAGGACGATTATAGAAAGACTATATCCTAATCCTCGAACAGCAAATAACCACATTTCATCTTCCGGTTCTACGTATTTCTAAAACAGAAAAAAAAATAATGGAGCACGTTTTTGAAAACAAGAAACAACACTATTTTTTTTAAACATGAATTTTTTTTTCACTAAGCGAGACTTATTTAAGATTGCCGCCCACCAGAAAAAATAACTAATAAAAAAAACCTTTTCCGTTTGGTCAGAACAAGTACATTCTTTAGGTACAAAATCACTTTGAGCATGTCAGTCTTTTCTTAAAAGGCTCCTTAGTTGGTGCATTAAGAGTTGGTGCATTAAGAGTTGGTGCATAAAGAAAATCGAATTTTATCCTTTTATTCTTTTCTATCACATTTTATATTTTGTGGATTTGAATATAATATGTAGCAGCAAATGTCGGCTATAGTCTTCCGAGGTTTAGCCAGATGAAAACAAATGACGGCCGTCTCGAACAAAAATTTCCTTTATTCTATCTGTTACTTACCCCTTCCTTTCAAAAACTAAATACTATTCTGTAACCCCTTGGGGACGGGTGATTCATAAAAGAATTCGTACAGAATCTGACTCAAGATGTAAATAAATAAAAAACGGTAGCTTAAATGTAGGAGTTGCTAATGGGTGACAGACTTACTTTGCTTTTACTTTAATTATTGTTAGTTTTATCATATTTATAATCAATGTTAATTCACAGTATAACTAAATAATTTTATATTGAACTAAGGTAATGGTGAATTATATAAATCAAATAATTATAACCCCTCCCATAAATAAGCTACTAAAGAACTAATTTGGTTACCAGTTTTATCTTTTTACCCTGATTGATACGGTTTTATGTTGGCACATATTTGTGACTTTCGGTGCGAAAGGGTTAATATAAAATTCGTCGGATATATTGACTTTACTCCAGTCAGAAGGCAGACTATAAGCATAAAATTGATACCTGCCAACTTTTAATACTTTCGAGGAAGATTTTCCCCAGTGGTAGTAAAATGGTATTTAAATTACAATTTTAGGCAGTAACATGCGCTTTATTTTTAGCGGGTCTATGTGGATTACCGCATGGTAGAAATCACATAAATCTCTGTGCGCTGCCGCGAAGCGTCATTAACCGATTCATCTGTAGTAATAAATCGATGATGAGGAGTAGTGAGGAGAAATGCATACCTGCCAACTCTTCCGGAAGATTTTATTTTCATATTTAAAGTGGTTACAATATTCAGGTTATTTCCAATTAACTTTTTGAATTATAATGATAATTATAAACGAGCATGACCACCACTACATATAAATAATTACAATAAATATATGAAAGCATAATAATCCTTGCGCAAGCGAATTTCAACGGGATCAAAATATCAACATATTTTTGAGTCAGATTGTTTTTCGTTTATTGTTTTACAACCACTCTGAAAGTCCATTCTCGGAAAGAGTGAAGGTTGGCAGGTATGGGAATGGAGATGGGAGGATTTCAACATGTCTATTGCAGAGATGCCAACTGCTCCGGACAAGCCAAAAAAGTTAAAGAAACGGTAAATAACTACAGAGTAAATTTTGCAAACATTTCACTTTTTTTACTTGCTTTTCAAACGGTATTGCATGACATGGTAAATCAAGTGGTGAATCATATAAGCCTACGAATTATTTAGAAATAGTGGTGGATAAAAATCTACTAAATTGAATTTATTAATCCAAGAATCACAAATGATAAACTACCACTTTAAAATATATATTTGCTGTCCGGAGCAAGTTGGCATCTCAGCTATTGCATATTATTAAGTATGATTAATTTTTAAAAAAAAAATAGTGGTGGTCTATTAGATTATAAATTAAGTTTATAAATGCAAAGAATATATAGAAAGCTTTCATTTTACTACCACTTTAAATACAGAAATAAAATTTTACGCCAAATGAGTTGGCAGGTATGCCTGCACGAGCATCAACTCAGTCACCCAAGGGCTCTATCCCCTACATGGGTGAAAGCCCTTATATAGCAAAACGGAAAAGAGAAAAACCTGATACGTAAAACATTTCATTCCAGCATTTTTTTCGAAAAAAATGAAATATCTGTAACTATCAAGATTTCTTTTATAATTCTGGCATATATATAAAACTGCTTCTTTTCCAAGATAAAGTAGATATTGTTGAAAAATTTTAAAAAAGAATAAGTAAACTCCTCCCCAAAACTAGCTATAACTGAAATGGTTTTACTACCAGCCTTTCCTCTTTTCCGTCTCGCTTTCACCCCTGATCCTCTACGAACATGTGGAGTCATCCTCGGTTCAAGTTTGGAAATATTGTGTTTTAAAAATTAGTTAGCTCTACATTCCGTAAAAATGATCAATTGCGGAATTAAGATCACGAAGTTATCAGTGATCGGTAGACATTGCGCATTGTTATTTAGACTTGTGCGTTTCTTAATGAATAATAACAGACACGTCATTTGTACAATGTGTACTAATGCTTTCATTTCGTTAATTATTCGGTAATACATCGAAAATAAGATGTAACTTTTCAGACAACATTTCAATCGTTTTTTTAGTTTGTTTGTTTGAAAAGAGAAAAAAAAAAAATTCCGTAATGTAAAAATTACGATTTAAGCTGTCGAAAGATCATGAAAAAAATTGTGACAAAATGTGATAATTTTCACTTCCAAACCCTCGATTTCATATATCAGATACAAATGATCGAGAGAGAAAAATACATATTTTAGTAAGATCGTCAAATTAAAAGAGTGAGGAAAGTGCATTTATAAAATGACTTACTTTAGGTACAGGTGGAAGAGCTAAGATGGCAAACATTCCTAGACTGTCACAGGAACAGGTTGTGTATAGACTAGTAGAATTTACTTTTACGCATCCATCTGGAGTCCATCCTCCCATCTTCACACGACTGTAAAAAAGATAAAGAATTTTATTTTTTAAGTGAAGTTATCTCTCAATATATGTTTCTTATGTGGCACTATAACATACCTGCCAACTTTTAATTCCTTCCATTTTCATTTTTCCCACTGGTATTAAAATGGAATTAAAATTTCAATTTTAAGCAAAAAAATAAGTTGTGTTTGAAAAAACTTATGCTGACAGCCATGATAGTAACACATACTAATATATGTGCTTAATTTTTTTAGGAATAGTGGTGATCAATATCTTTTAAAAATTAAGTTTATAAAAGACAAAAATAGTAGTACATATTTACTACCACTTTAAATATGAAAAAAAAATTTTACGCCAAATGCGTAAAAGTTGGCAGGTATACTATAAGCTTGGGTATTTCTCTTGCAATTGGCAACACTAAAGTTATTATTCATTTCGTAAAGTTAAGTAATAATTTATGTTGTGTTAAAAAATTAGTTATGCGTTAAGTATTAAATTAGATTCATTTTGTTACGCCATATTAGGTAATAATTTAAGTAGGTAATAATTTTGTATTTTAATCGAAACAAGAACTTAATTACAAAGTAATTATTTAGATTAACTATTGATGATTTCAAAAACTGCTGTAGAAATTTTAAGCATAAACGTGACACATACTGTTATCCTATTATTGGTGAGGGAGAGAAATAACTTAGTAAGTTTCTAAAGTAAGTTTTGAGATAGATATATTATACGATATTATATAATTGTACATAGATATATTATGCGATACTTAAGGCTATAGCTCTAGAGGACGTAATACAGAATTCCATACCATTTAATTTCTGAGGAAACATGCATTTTTCGAGCAATAACAAAGATATAGTTCGCTCACCAGGAGTTGGCACTTGACTCCACCTCCTCGGAGGCAGAGTTCATTTCAGAGCGGGAGTAAGAGGAGAAACATCTTCGCTCTTGAAATTGAGACAACCCTTAATGCGCGAAACACAAACAGTGACTTCTTTTTCAATCACTTACTTCGCTTTATCATTTGCTATTATACCTTTCGTTTTTCTAGATAATTAAATAGATTTTAAATTTAAAAACTGCTGTTTTCCGAGCAAAATGTTTCAAAAAAGACAAACTATTCACTCCAAAGAGAGAAATATCATTAAAAAAAAATGGCGCGAAATATCATCAAATTTATGAAATACTTAAGAAAATGTTTAGATACTATATTGATATATTAAGTTCACAGCTTGTGTGAAATAATTTTGAAAAGTGACCGAATTGATTGCCAAAGAAGTTAGCACTTTATTAATCATTTAACATTTTTCTTGTTGACGAAAAAACTTTTTTAAAAGCTGTGCTGTTATCCAGTGAAAATTTCAGTGACTCGATCTATGTTCTAGACACATCTATAAGAGAACAGCCTAATGTGAAAAAGCCACCTTTGACAAAATGTCTCGATCGTCATTATATAGTATTTGAGAGCTACAGTGGCTCAGGAGGTAAACCGTTCGCCTCCGAATGAGGTGACCGAGGTTCGAATCACAGAGGTAGCCAGTTGATAGAAATTCTGCTCTCGGATCACAATGATCTTAACGCTGACGTGAAATATACTTAGTGGTCATGGGTTAGAATCCTCCCGCTATCGGGCTAACCGTAGGAGGTTTTTGCAGTTTTCCTTTCCATGTAACGCAAATAAGGGTTAGTTCCATCTAAGAGTTCTCCACGAAGGCAAAATTTCTTTCAATACTTGATCTATGACTTCCCTTCTCTTCTGGATTGGGTTCAAAATTACAAGGCTGAAAATTACAGAGATGAACATTGGTAGTTATAAATCCGAAAGTGGATCGGCTATTCAATGGCAGTTAATAAATAATAGTTTAAATATCGACTGTTATTTCAATCTAAAGTGCTCCATGAAGGCTAGTTTGTCTTAACGTTTGATTCAAGAGTTCTCCTGTCTTCTGGGTGAGGTTCAAAATTACAAGGGTACGGAGGTGAACATTGATAGCCGTGAATTCAGAATTTGCTCAAAGCAGGGGATGAAATAAAACAAATTATATTATTGTATATCAAGTTCATCAGTTGCTTATACACGAATGTGCTAAGGCATTTTTTTTTCACATTAAATGCGTTATTCACTTACATTACACATGCTTAACCGAAACACATAATGCTTACTCTGGTATCTCTAAAGTATCTGACCATCTTACACATTCCCTTGATTCAACCTACAAAAATAAATTAAAAACATACATTGAATAACTGTAGAAAAATAAGGAATGATAAAATTTATTTTTAATATCGTTGACTTTCCGTTGTGGAGAAAAATATTTTACGTAGTATTATCAAAATATTTGTTACTCGAGATAATCTTCATAAGATAGGTGAAAAGTGAAATATTCCACTTTTTTTCAAAATAAGAAGAAATTATATAGATAAGTTCTAAAATTAATCTGAAAATAAAAGTGTGTATTTACTTTTTTGCGTTTAAAAAAATATTTTATATTTTTTCCCATCAATTATTCCGTTGTTTTATTTAATTTTTTGCCTTCATACATATACTTTTTGGTGGTCATGCATGCCGCACGAATGTGTGATAGAAAGCTGATAAAAAATTTATTCTCGAAAAATATTTTTTTTTTGCAGAATGTAACTCATGATACTAGAAATTTGTTACATACACGTGGATGCTTAAGTTCATTAGTTAATTATTTTCTTTTGTTTGCCCTTCGTTAAGAAAATCCTTTTCTCATTAAGACATTTCTTTAATGTACCTTTTATGTTTCAAAATAAGTTCATTTAATATTGTAAACAAATACACAAATTCATATTTAAAAACAGCTATCTAAACGCTCAAGAATTAAGTTTTCTAAGCAATATTTGAAAAAAGTTTTTTTTTCTGAGTTTTATTTAAAAAATATATAAATACCAAAATAAAAACTTTTTTCTTTGTTAATTACATTTGTAATAATAAAATATATATTAGAGTTTCGTGCTGAATAGCCTTAAATATTTATTTCGTTTCGAAACAGGGCAATTTTGAAGATTGATCGAAAAAGATTGAAGGGATTAAATGAAAAGATTGAAAAAAAGATTTAAAAGATTGCTTACTTTTGGATCTTCAAGTTGTTCTGCCGAAGCGCCTCGAAGTAACTTACTTTTCTAAAAATAGATATCAATTATAAGATAATTGTATCAGTTTTTATGACAATGATTCTATAAAATAATATTTTTTTCTATCTCTTACTTCCCACTGATGTTCGAAAAATATGATTACTGGGTCTGATGTTAAAACATCCCTGTCATAAGAAGGTTTGACATCGAAGCTTAGTACTCTGCTATCGAGGAAGACGCCCGTTGTATTACTTCCCCTTTTAAAATATCAACAATAAACTATTACATTATGTTACTTTTTCTGGAATATCAACAATAAATTATATTGTAATGTTTGCCTATTCTGTTACACTGTCAGAAATATTAACAACAAACTGTTACGTTCTGCTACTTTCTCTGAAATATGAGTAAAAAAATTAGTTTGTAATGTTACCCATTCTGTTACACTATCTGAAATATCAACAATAAACTGTTACATTCTGTTACTTTCTCTGAAATATGAACAAAAAAATTATTTTGTAATATGTTGCCCATTCTGTTATACTATCTGAAATGTAAACAATAAATTGTTACGTTATGTTACTTTCTCTAAAACACCAACAATAAACTATTCTGTAAAGTTGCCCATCCTATTATACTATCTGAAATATCAACAATAAAATTATTTTGTAATTTTGCCCATTCTGTTATAATTTCTGAAATATAAACAATAAGTTATTAAGTAAGGCTGGCAACTGTCAACACTTTTTTAGAATAATGTCTAATAGTGAAAAGAGAGCTATGTTCATTTTTCAATGTATGAAAATTTAATTAGAATTTTTAATTTAAAATTATTTTCACACATGTAAATGATTGAAAAGTTGGTATACAACTCCATTTTGTGACAAAATAAAAGTTATAACATAAAGGATTTTATATGAATAAATTATATGAATGTATGAATGTATAATAAATTATATGAATATATGAATAAAGGATTGAACTTTCATACCTGTTATAGGTTATCTGACATAAAACAAATGAAACTTACGTTATAGAATTATGAAGAGGCGCCATCTTGTGGTAAGTGTTATAATACATGGATTGAACGCTTATAGCTTCCGCTGAAAAGAATGAATAAAAATAAATTTAAATGAATAAAAATGAAAATTATATATTAACGATTGACTTACACATTTTTCGTTCATACAGCCTAGGAATAAGCAATCAAATTTACGAAGTAATGTTTAAATTATCATAATACTCATGAAAAATATTAACTGAACCGGTTTACAATTACAAAGAACCCTAAAAACTAAGAACACATATACAATTATTGTAATTTTATGCAAGAATATTTTGTCAATATATCAACCGAAACGAAATAAACCTTAACTTAAAAGATAATCATCTGTACTTGAAAATAAACTTTTGCAATATAGATTGTGCGTCTCAATGAGAAGAAACAAATGAGAAACCATTTTAATTGTTAACGAGACTAATAGAATTTCATTAGGGTAATGATCTTCCCTCTATTATATTAAGTGCTTTACATTTCAAAATACATGTTAAGATTAACATCGGCCAACATCTAATTTCTCTCTTTATTTTTGACATCAACTCAAACGTGAGCTTATAAAATGAAGATCTCGAGAGAGAAAATTAATTTTTTGTTACAACGAATAGTCCATAATTTAAGCAAAACAAAAAGCAATTAATTTTTTCGGGACTGCGGAGTCATAAATGTATTCGTACGGAATCAGAATCAGGATAACATAAAATAAAAAGCTGTTGCTTAAGCTTGGGTATAGCTAATTTGACAGACTTGTTTTTGCTTTCACTTTAAAGCTAACATCGTTGCGTGTTAAAAGTGTAACTATACAATTTTTAATTCGAACTAAGTGTTGGTGAATTAAATAAAGCGAACTTTCATTACCCCACCCACAAATAAACTGCTATAAAAATAGTTCTGCTACCAGTTTTATCTTTTTTTACCCTGATTAGCTCCACCCAGAGAATGCATATATGAAACGCCCGTCTCGGAGAGGTTAAAATTCCTCTCAAACAATCTGCAATTTTGAATAATAAATTGCCTAACATCTCGTTTCATGCCTTCAGTGGGTCGATAAATGAGTACCAAGCATGCTTGGGAACTAAACACTGGGGGTTCCGCGTTTGGTTGACCACCTAACCGGAACATTTGCTCCGGCATCCTAGAGCCCAAGGTCAAGAAAACTGAGATGGGCACTGTAGGCCTTGACCCTCTACGGGCTGTCACGCCAGTGAGTTTAGTTTAGTTTTATAGCCATACTAGTTGTAAACGGTTTCAAAACCGTAAAGGTAAAAAAAGTTCTTTACTGTAAATTTTACGGTTATTTGAACGTCCAGACTGATGCTGGTTATTTTACCCTTATTTTAGAAGGAAAATTCGAACGGAGTAAATAAATGAAATAAATGAATTTAATCTTTCTTACTTGATTCTCCGAGAGCAGCGACTGGAATTCTCATTTGATCAGATGCTTCACTCCACCTTTTGCGCAATTCCTTCCACTGAGAATCCTTTCCGTAGTCAGGAAAATACATGTACGGCGCATGTTTCTTTTTTAGCTCTTTTGGCAAGTTTTTGGCACTTTTTGTCACTAAATTTCGAAAAGAAATTCTACATGTCGCCAAAAATTATGTTTTCAATAGGAAATGCAGTACAGATATAATAGTACCAATGTATTAAAATGAAATTCAAACTCATTATGTAAAAAATTCATATATTAGTATTTTTGTGTTCAAAAAAACTGCTAATTTGATCTATTTGTAAAAAGGTAAACAATAAATATCGACATATAAATTTTTTCAAATTGTAAAATGAGGTTAGCCTTTTGACATAAATGGGACACAGGTTTAACAATTTAAGTAATATTATTCAGTACAGAATAATATTATTTAGTTAAAATCCATATAAAATCTGAAAATTAAATATTTTTTTACTATTTTAAAGTAAATTGTGGATATGAATGATAATTGAAAAAAGTAATAAAAAAAGAATATTTAAAACAATTTACCGATGCTGAAATACGCTGCCGAACGATATTGAAATTTAGTTACTATGTTTAATTAATTCAGCTATAGCGGCTGTTAAAATTTAAAAATTATTTAAATTTATCAGTCCAATAATGAAAGAGAAAATAATAAATTTCAAATAAGTTTTAGTGAAATAGAAAAAATAGGCTTCAAACAAGTCTTAGTGAATAAGAAGAGAATAAGTTTCTAATGAGTTTTAGCAAATAGAAAAGAATAAGTTTCAAATAAGTTTTAGTGAATATAGAAAAAAAAAATAGGCTTCAAATAAGTCTTAGTGAATATAGAAAAAAATAGGCTTCAAATAAGTCTTAGTGAATAAAAAGAGAATAAGTTTCTAATGAGTTTTAGCAAATAGAAAAGAATAAGTTTCAAAAAAATTTTAGTGAATATAGAAAAAAATAGGCTTTAAATAAGTCTTAGTGAACATAGAAAAAAATAGGCTTCAAATAAGTCTTAGTGAATAAGAAGAGAATAAGTTCCTAATGAGTTTTAGCAAATAGAAAAGAATAAGTTTCAAATAAGTTTTAGTGAATATAGAAAAAAAATAGGCTTCAAATAAGTCTTAGAGAATACAGAAAAAAATAGGCTTCAAATAAATCTTAGGGAATAAGAAGAGAATAAGTTTCTAATGAGTTTTAGCAAATAGAAAAGAATAAGTTTTAAATAAGTTTTAGTTAATATAGAAAAAAATAGGCTTCAAGTAAGTCTTAGTGAAATAGAAAGGAATAAGTTTCAAATAAGTCTTAGTGAAAAAGAAAAGAATAAGTTTTAAATAACTTTTAGTGAATATAGAAAAAAATAGGCTTCAAATAAGTCTTTGTGAAATAGAAAAGAATAAGTTTCAAATAAGTCTTAGTGAAAAAGAAAAGAATAAGTTTCAAATAAGTCTTAGTTAATTAGAAAATAAAAGTTTCAAATAAGTTTAAGGGAAATGAAAAATAATAAGTTTTAGTGAAATAAAAAGGAATAAGTTTCGAATAAGTCTTTTAAAAAAGAAAAGAATAAGTTTAAAATAATTTTAATGAAATCTCAAATAATAAGTTTATTGCTATCATGTTGCATGTAAAGAAAAATTCTTCCGGAAAAGTTGACTGGCAATAATAATCTTCGATGTATGCCTAAATAAGAGGGAAAAAAATTCACTCATGTGNAGAAAAGAATAAGTTTAAAATAATTTTAATGAAATCTTAAATAATAAGTTTATTGCTATCATGTTGCATGTAAAGAAAAATTCTTCCGGAAAAGTTGACTGGCAATAATAATCTTCGATGTAAGCCTAAATAAGAGGGGGAAAAATTCACTCATGTGTGAAAGCAGAATCGCATCTGTGAAAGCAGAATCGCATAAACAATGGTAATGATAAACTACTTAAATTATGTTTGATAGTTTCATGATAAGACTTTTTAATATTCCAGTGCAGGGGTGAAAGCGAGACGGAAAAGAGGAAAGGCTGGTAGTAAAACCATTTCAGTTATAGCTAGTTTTGGGGAGGAGTTTACTTATTCTTTTTTTAAATTTTTTAACCATATCTACTTTTTCTTGAAAAAGAAGCAGTTTTGTATATATGCCAGAATTATAAAAGAAATCTTGGTAGTTAGAGATATTTCATTTTTTTCGAAAAAAATGTTGGAATGAAATGTTTTATGTACTAGGTTTTTCTCTTTTCCGTTTTGCTACATAAGGGCTTTCACCCATGTTCCAGTGTTATCTAAAAGAAGGAACTAAGAAACACGGATACATTTTCATATTTTTATTCTGCTCACCACCCAAGACAAAAAATCAAGATGGTTTTCCATTGATGGACCAACATAAATTGAATTTACATCAAAAAGCATCATACAGCTTGACGAGATCATCAAATTTGCTTAATATTACAAGTTAGGACATTGGATATTACAAAATAGCATACCCATCCTACGATGGATTCTTATAAAGGGCAAATAAAACTATCATAAATTACTTTTTACCATTATAATTTTCCATCATAAACCATTATGCTTTTTAATGGGACCATCAAGACTGCCCGACACACCGATTTTGAAATTGATCCAGCTTTATGTTGCGTTTCGTGAGTGGATCGTGTCGTTAAAGGTGCGTTACAGAAAGATGATTATAGTTTCATCTGCTCTTCGAAGCTTTTTTTCCTCCGTTGGAAAAACCATGATAAAATTTTACTGGTAGTTTCCATTAAATGTATTTGTAATTTATTTGACCGATAATTGATATCCATCATTACTCTAAATCAGGGATGGGCAAACTACTGCCTGCCGGAAAGATTTATTCTGCCCGCGTTCAGAATTTGATTTGAACTTGCCAATCCGTGGCGAATAAAAACAATAAACATCCATTTTCTTGTCTACTTTGTTTAAATCTATTTTTGTTCTTTCTTTTTTAACAAAGTACTGAAGACCTTTTTACTTTCTCTATTTCTGTACTACAAAGCATAAATTGATGGAAATAGTTAGCTCAGACAGCTTCAATTACTAGATGTTAAATGTAGAAGTTCTTTATAGAATAGCCGTAGATGGGGCGTCATCCGAAGCAGTTGTTTCTAAATATGCCAAAGTTTGAGTTTTACAAATCATTAACAAAAGCTAGTTTCCCAAATTTAATATTTCATGACCAGAAAATCAGTGCTATGTTTGCTTCATCTTGTAAATGTTCACAAGTGTTTTTCACTATGAACCTTAGAAAAAATCATTTCAGAAGTAGACTAATTGACAAATATTTAGCCTCGTTCCTTAAAATAAGTACGTCTCACTTGGAACCACAAAATAAGAAACTTTTAAAAATGAAATCTCAATTTCATTCATCTCATTAAATATTTAAATTAAAACCTGTATATCTTTATTCCATATTAGAAATTTTTACTTTGGCCCACAAAACTTTTTTTCTCTCGATTTTTTGCCTTGACCAAAAAAGTTTGCCCTTCTCGATTCTAAAGCAACATTTTACCCCATGAAATGATGGAAGTTTTTAAACCAATAAAGAACTATGATGGTCAACCAACATAACTTGTTGGTTGACCATTATAGTACTAAAGCAACATTTTCCTTCATGAGATGATGGAATTTGTTCGTCAAGCATTTTCTAACGTAACATGTTGGTTAATCATCAAGATATCATCTTCCAGCATGAAATGATGGAAGTTTGTTGACCTATCAAAATCCATTACCACATGATGGAAATAATCGGATGATGCTTACCATTATATAGAGTTAAGCCATCAAGTAACCAACATAAATCATCAAAATATCTTGAAGGTCCCATCAAGAATTTTATCTTGGACAATGTCACTCATTAATATTTTCATGAATTGTATTAAAAGTGTATTTTAGAAGTATAAGAAATATATGTTTTACTTAAAGAATTGATATGTTAAAAATATGAATTGATATGTTAAAAATATGAATTGATAAAAATATGATATGAATTGATTAAATTGAGTCTCTGTATTTAATATACAATAAACTGTAAAATCGTTTTTTTCTCACCAACGTTCTCTGACATCATAAGTAGATCCACAGTCTTTTCATCTGCCTTAGATTCTAGAAGTTTGGACATTGACCAGTCTTGAACAGAATTTAATAGAGCTACACTATCTTCACCTTCCTACAACAATAAAAGATGAATGTTTAAATACTATACGGGAGTGTTTTTAAAATGAAAGTTAATGCAACAAAAAAAAATGAATTTGATAAAAAAAAAAGTAAAATATTAAAAATAACGATTAAAAAGTACGTAAAAATAAAAAGTAAAGATTTGTTTTATTTCCGCTGAAAAATGTGCATGGAACTAATTTCATTTTTCAACTGTCCTCTATTTTGGGTTTGCGACTACTAATGTTCAACTCCGTAGCCTTATAATTTTGAACCCAATCTAAAAGACAAAGGAACTCCTGGATCGAATATTGGGGGAAATTCACCTTTGTGGAGTACTTTTTTGATGAAACTAAGTCGTGCTTGCGTTACATGGAGAGGAAGTAATACATTAAAATGTAAATTTAGCAACCACTAGAACAAATTTTTACAAAAATCGTAGAAAGTTGTCAGTTCTGGTTTGTAAATGACCCTTTAAAAATTCCTAATGCCCCTCAAATACCTATACTTTTGTAAGCACCTTACTAAAGGCATACCTGCCAACTTTTACGCATTTGGCGTAAAATTTTATTTTTATATTTAAAGTGGTAGTAAATATAAACTACTTTTCCTATTATAAACTTATTTTTTAAATGATTTTGATCACCACTATTCTTAATAAAATTAAGCATATAGATAATTAAGCGTTACTTTCAAATTAGTCAGCTAAAGTTTTTTTCAAATACAATGCATTTTTTTGCTTACAATTAAAATTTTTATTCCATCATTTCACTACCACTGGAAAAAATCATAATGGAAGGGATCAAAAGTTGGTAGGTATGCTAAAGGTCTTCACCACCTACTTTGAGAACCTATCCCTTGGGATCCTTACTTTGAATGCATGATTATCTGACATACTTCATCATCAGTGCCATCAACTTTCTTCCTCTATTGGGAAAACTTCTTCAAGTGGTAGCTAAGTTAATGTTTTAATGAGTGATTCTTTCGTTTGTAAATTCGGTTAAAAGTTTTTCCCCCCACCATAACATGTAAATGATTCAAAAATTCATATGAAACGCTTCTTTGTTCGGGCTTTCACGTTGGGAAGCCTTTAAAATGTAGAAAAAATTACAAAAAAAATTATGAAAACTTAAGTATTAAGTTGTCTATCACTTGATAAAATGTTTTGCAAAAGACGTAGTTGTTGGTATCCTAACATCATACTTACAGGGATGTAAAAGGTGACTGAAAATGTAAAGAGTAGTAGATTTAATTCATTTTCATTTAATTATTATCTCTATAATAAGTCAATCGCAACTACCACTAGGATTTACATTTCAAATTATTCATATTAAAAGCAAAAGCACTACTTGCATTTTTTTAAAAATAGTAATCTAAAAAACGTTGGCTGTTAAAGTTTGTTGATTTTGAAATTAAAATTTTGAAATTCATAGTCACTACTCTCTGCATTTTTATTTGCCCGTGGCAATCCCGTACTTAATCATAATTGTTGACAAAGTATCTACTGCATTACTAACGGGTACATTCAACACAAGAAATGCTTACAATGTTACTATTGAAAATGATAAACATAATTGTAGTTTCGCAATATGTTACGATGACAACCACAATCTCCAGACCTCAATCCAATTGACCAACGGGGCATCCATCGCTTAGATCTACAACCAAACCAACTCGAGCTGCAGTGACTCAGGGAAAAGAGCGTTCGCATTTCAATGAAGTGGCCCAGATTCGAATCTCAATGGTGGCTGATTAACACGAATTCTGCTCCCGACTAGCACCGGCCACAGTGCTGACTTAAAATACCCTTAGCATACCTGCCAACTTTTAATTCCTCCCATTTTCATTTTTTCCAGTGGTATTAAAATGGAATTAAAACGTCAATTTTAAGCGAACTAATACGTTGCATTTGAGAAAACTTATGATTACAACCATGATAGTAACGCATATTAATATATTTGTTTAATTTTAGTAAGAATAGTGGTGATCAAAATCATCTAAAAATTAAGTTTATAAAAGAAAAAATAGTATATACTTACTACCACTTTAAATATGAAAATAAAATCTCCCGCAAAATCCGGGAGAGTTGGCAGGTATGCCTCAGTGATAGACGGATTATGGGTTAGAATCCCATTGCCTTCGGGTTAACCGTGGAAGTTCAAGGCTGCCCACTTTCTACGCTTTTTCTAAAAATTTATTCTAGGGGTACCTAAGTTTATATATTAATGTATTATTTTTTATTCATTTGAATTTATTTCCCTCACCCACTACATATAAATGATTTAAAAATTCATATACAATGCTACTTTGATCCAGCTCCATCGTGTTGAGGCTTTTAAAATGCTAGGAAAAATTGCCAAAAATATTGAAAGTTTTGACTTTAAAACTACTCTATAAAATATGTTTCAAAAAGCTTAGTAGTTGGCAGTAAGTTTTCATCTTCATGTAAGGAAAATGCGGGATAGTTCCATCTAAAAGTCCTCCACGAAAACTAATTTGTTCTAATGTTTGATCTAGGAGTTTTCTTGACTTCTGGGCTGGGTTCGAAATTCATACCTGCCAACTCTCCCGGATTTTGCGGGAGATTTTATTTTCATATTTAAAGTGGTAGTAAATATATACTATTTTTTCTTTTATAAATTTAATTTTTATATGATTTTGATCACCACTATTCTTACAAAAAATAAGCATATATAATAATATGCGTTACTATCATGGTTGTCAACTTAAGGTTTCTCAAATACAACGTATTTGACTGCTTAAAATTGAAGTTTTAATTCCATTTTAATACCACTGGGAAAAATGATAATGGAAGGAATTAAAAGTTGGCAGGTATGGAAATTATAAGGCTATAGAGTTGAACACTGTTAGTCGTAAACTCGGAATTGGGGATGCCAGCTACTAGGCTTTTTGGGAAATATTTTGAAAGCCTGGTAGACCATTAAAAACTTAAGCTTTTAGATTTTTATAGTAATTTTACCAATATTTTAAAAACCTCCTTAACAACAGATGGAAAAAAGGGAGTTTCATTCTTACTTACATGCGGAAAGTAACTGTAAATACAATTTACAAAACAAAGAATTATACATAACCATAAATTTAGTTAATACTACAAGTCAAGGGTGAAAGCGAGACGGAAAAGAGGAAAGGCTGGTAGTAAAACCATTTCAGTTATAGCTAGTTTTGGGGAGGAGTTTACTTATTCTTTTTTTAAATTTTTCAACAATATCTACTTTTTCTTGGAAAAGAAGCAGTTTTATATATATGCCAGAATTATAAAAGAAATCTTGATAGATACAGATATTTCATTTTTTTCGAAAAAAATGCTGGAATGAAATGTTTTGCGTACCAGGTTTTTCTCTTTTCCGTCTTGTTATATAAGGGCTTTCACCCTTGCTACAAGTTTTTATCTCAATGATGATCATCTCACCTTCGCTCAAGCCCTACTCCAATGATGAACTGAACTTTCTTAGAAATTTTATTTCGAACTTTCCAAACATATGACTCCCAAGCATATGTCTACTCAGAATAGATGAATCGGTTGGTGGCCCTTCGGGCCAAATGCCGAGTTCCTACTAATATCAAGCATCAAGCCACAAGTTTTCTTAAAAAGCTAGAAAGTTAGTAGATCGAAAAGGGTTTTCAACTTCTCGTAGAGTTTAGATCACGAAAAATTAAGTTGAATTTGTGGAAGAAGCAAGGAGTAACGCAGGGAGCAACGGGTGACTAAAATTGCAAAAAGTACTAACTATTAAGATTTAATATTTTATTAAAAAAATTTAAATTTAGTAAACTGTTTTAAAGCATATTACTTTAAGTTTATTACTGAAAGTAAATGCATGAAGTTCTGCATGTGAATAATATGAAGTCATAGTGGTAAATACGATTTAATGCTTTAAGAGATAATAAATAAATAAAAGTGAATTGAATTTCTACCACTATTTACACAATTAGTCACCTCTGGCATCCCAGTAAACGAGATGTTAAAGTAGTCACTATGCGTATGAAACAAAATTTCTTTCTAAGAAATAAATAAACCATTCTCAACCTTACCGCTTCTATTTCTTTCCATAAATCTGCTTGACTATCGGAGAATATTGTGCTCACGATTTCTTGCATTTTCTGAAAAATAATTAACGAAAATTAGACATCTGGAGAAAAACACAAAATATATAAACGTATGCAAATTTGTGGTTATACCATGCGAATTTCATTGATAATTCCAGATCATACTTATGGATTATAGTTTCAAAAAATTAAAAATATAGCGTAAAGCTAATAATGAAGCACTCAATTTTTCTTAATCTATTCGAAGGCCGTGGTAAGAATACTTACCACTAATTTTTGAAACCCATGGTGAACTTTTTTTACCATTTTTAATTTAGGTTACCATTTGATTTGTTAATAACTTAAGCTTTCCTGAAGTGCGTTTGAATAAAATTGGTAGTTTAAAAAAAAAGGAAAAAAGTATAAGTTTGTAGCATTTATAAAATTTTATTTTTTAAATAACGAAAAATAAAAGTCAATAAGTTCTTAATAGGCCGTGGTAAATATACTTAGCACCAAAAAAAAGCATTCAAATTTAGATTTTTTTTTATAAACTAAATTAGTTTTTTTTTCTTATATCAATTACTTTTCTTATATCAATTTCAATTCCAAAAATACTTTAATTTACCTTTAGTAGAAATAAATGGCCCATTAAAGGGTTAAT